TCTATTTTTATGACGATAATCGGAACAATATATGATATTTTTATCTACCAAAAACACATAGAAAATAATGAAATGAATAAAATTAATGATAGTAAGTATAACTCTAAAAACAATTACTATTTTAACAAACTTACAATTTTAATGTGCTACAATTTTTATTGTCTACAAATCAGATTCATATTAAAATTTTTTAATGAATTACGTATTTATTATAAATTTTGAAATTGATTGTTATTTTAAATAACTAAAATTAGTAATAAAATCTTGTGTGTAACTATATGTTGTATATTTATTGTTTATTTGGATTCTTATTTAATATTATATTTACTTAATCACAGCATTTTAATTTTTACATTTACCTACTATACTAAATAAAAACTTTGAATTATTATTTAGATGTTGGAGATATGTCCATGAAAATAAAAATAAAAGCGAATTCGTTTTTATATCTAGATACATCTAGTAACATTGGAAAAGTATTAATATGCTTCTCAGCTTACACAAATACAAAAAAAATGTTTAGTATGAACTTAGATCCCGGCATAATATCCGTTATTCACGGCTTAAAATTTTTAAGCATGTGTTTGTTGATCATAATACACAGTGTATATTTTAAAATGGATTGCCTTGGCGAGTAATTTAGAAATATCTGTTGAAATGATTTTTTAGTATCTTGTTTTTTATTTTTCACACATAACAAAAATTTCTTTATGTTCACAGATAATAAAGTATGGTTGTGGAGATGGATTTTGGAGAATTACGGTACTTTTGTATATCATTCTATAAATACATCAGTCGATACATTTTTTTTTTCAAGTGGATGTTTAGTGACTTACTTGTATTGGAGAAATAGAACAAATGAAATAGTAAAGAAGCCAACTAGTTTCAAAGATAAACTAACTGAACTCTTTATATATGTAATAAAAAGATTTGTTCGGTACGTTTTCCGTGATTTTGATTGCACGTATAAATAATAATAAAAAAACAATGCAATAAACACAATAAAATTATTACATTAATTAGTAAAACAAGAAAGATATAAAATGATATAAAAAATTTAAAAATAACACCGGCACACAAAAAAAAAAGTGGTTTGTGCATTTGACCGGACCCATCTACGGACATGTTTTTCGACCCGCTGAATCC